AGGACGTCACGTTCGACGAGTCGGTCCCCTACTACCGCCTCTTCCCCTACCGCACTCCGTCCCTCCCCCCGCCACCGCTCTTCCTTGTACCAGGTCCCCCCCCGGTAGACCCCCTCCCCCCTCAGGGTCCTGCCCCTTCAGGTGTGTCCCAGGTAGACGCTGTTGAGCCTGTCGAGGTCGCTGGTGACTCTGGTGCTGCTGAGGGTGCTGAGCCTGGGGGTGCTGACTCTAGGGGTGCTGAGCGTGTGGGTGCTACGCCTGGGGGTGCTGAGCCTGGGGGTGCTGAGCCTGGGGGTGCTGAGTCTGGGGGTACTACGACTGGGGGTGCTGAGCCTGGGGGTACTACGCCTGGAGGTGCTGAGCCTGGGGGTGCTGCGTCTGGGGGTGCTGAGCCTGGGGGTACTACGCCTGGAGGTGCTGAGCCTGGGGGTGCTACGCCTGGTGGTGCTGTGCCTGGCGGTTCACCGGGTGCTCCCTCTCGCCGAGAGCCACTCTCTCCCCAGGAGCTGCGTGAGTGGTTTGCCCGGCGCTGGAGGCGAGCTGCTGGAGCTGCTGGAGCTGGAGGTGCTGCGGGTACTGGAGGTTCTGTTGCTTCTGAGGGAGCTGGTGCCACGGGTCCCGGAGGTGCTCGTACTGGGAGTTCTGGAGCTGCTGGACCTGCGGGTACTTCTGGAGCTGGAGTTGCTGCGGGTGTTGGCGCGGAGGCTACTGCTGTCGGTCCTGGAGGCTGTCCTGCTGGGGGTACTACTGGTGCTGCTGGGGGTTCTGGAGCTGGAGCTGCTACTGGTGCTGGTGCTGCCCCTGCGGGTGCTGGTGCTGTCCCTCCTGTGTCTGGAGTCGCCGCGCGGCCTCGGCCGTACTTCGTTCCGCTCCTTCAGCAGGTTCTTGGTCTCCCGCCTTCTACTGGTCCTCCTCCTCCCTTAGAGTGTCCACAGCCTGTCCCGTCGCAGTTACAGTTACAGCCGGCCTCCCCACTGCCTGCTCCGTCTCCCTACACTGGTCCTACTGGAGGTCTTGCTGAGCGTCGTCAGCCTGCGTCTCGCCCTGCGTCGCCTGTCCGTGCTGCTCGCACTAGTGGTCGCGGTTCGCGTCAGCGTCCTCCTCCTGTCCCTGGCACGCACCGGATGTCTCTGCGTCCGTCCACTGCTCCTCTGCGTGCCCCTTTGCCTTCTCCTCCTGAGTCTTCTCTTCCTACTCTTGCCGACCCGGAGTCGGACTCTCTTCGCGCTGCCAGTCCTACTGTCACGCGTCTCCTTGCTACGGTTGTCACTGACCCTTCCTTTGAGTCCACTGCTGCGTCTGCTCTAGTTGCTGAGCTCGTCGACTTTGGTGCTCGCTGTCGCCTAGACTACGTCGCCAGTCTTGTTGCTGAGTCTGAGTCTGTCTGTCCTCCGTCCGTCGGGGGTGAGTGTGCCCTTAGCACGGACGTCCTTGAGGACAGGCAGGAGGAGTTCCAGTGCTTGGCCGCTGCTTCACCTCATCTCGTGTCCGTACTGCTTACCCCTGAGGGAGACCCGGATGCACTTGACATCCCGACTCCGCGCTCTTACGCGGAGGCGATAGAGGGTCCCTACTCCTCTCAGTGGCAGGCAGCTATGGACGCAGAGATGGCTTCCTGGAAGTCCACAGGCACCTACGTTGACGCTGTTCCCCCTCCTGGGGCGAACATCGTCAGTGGCATGTGGATTTTCAGGGTGAAGCGACCGCCGGGTTCTCCGCCTGTCTTCAAGGCGCGTTACGTGGCTCGTGGCTTCAGTCAGCGGCAGGGAGTTGACTACTTTCAGACCTTCTCTCCCACCCCGAAAATGACCACTCTTCGGGTACTGCTGCACGTAGCTGCTCACCGTGACTACGAGCTACACTCTCTTGACTTCAGCACTGCTTTCTTGCAGGGCAGCCTGCACGAGGAGATCTGGCTGCGTCGCCCACCTGGCTTCACTGGGTCTTTTCCTCCTGGCACCCAGTGGAGCCTACGGCGGCCAGTCTACGGTCTCCGCCAGGCACCGCGTGAGTGGCACGACACACTGAGGACTACACTTGCGGCTCTTGGGTTTGCTCCCTCTACTGCCGACCCGTCGTTGTTTCTGCGCACCGACACTTCTTTGCCGCCGTTCTACATCCTCGTGTACGTCGACGACTTGGTCTTTGCCACAGCTGACACTGCTGGACTAGCCCACGTGAAGTCCGAGCTGCAGAAGAGACACACGTGCACTGACCTGGGTGAACTGCGCAGCTACCTTGGCTTGCAGATCACTCGGGACAGAGCACGCCGCACCATTACCCTGACTCAGTCACACATGGTGCAGCAGGTCCTTCAGCGCTTCGGCTTCACGTACTCCTCGCCTCAGGCCACTCCTCTGCCTACTCGCCACTCGCTCTCAGCTCTGCCTTCGGATGAGTCCGTAGAGTCGAGTGGCCCGTACCCAGAGCTTGTTGGCTGCCTCATGTACCTGATGACCTGCACACGACCTGACCTTGCATACCCTCTTAGCATTCTTGCACGCTATGTTGCTCCTGGGAGACACAGACCGGAGCACATGGCTGCAGCGAAGAGGGTGTTGCGCTACTTGTGCAGTACGTCGGGCATGGGGCTTGTGCTTGGAGGGCAGAGTCCAGTGGTCCTTACTGGGCACGCAGACGCTTCTTGGGCTGACGACCAGGCTACGCAGCGGTCGTCACAGGGTTACACCTTCAGCCTTGGTTCCGGCTCTGTTTCGTGGCGGGCTACTCGCTCGTCTTCTGTTCTCGGCTCCAGTTGTGAGGCTGAGATCTACGCAGGAGCCATGGCTGCACAGGAGCTTCGCTGGCTCACCTACCTGCTGACTGACCTCGGAGAGTTGCCTCGTTCTCCTCCAGTGCTGTACGTAGACAACAAGGCCATGCTGGCCTTGTGTCGGGAGCAGCGACTGGAGCACAGAACGAAGCACATTGCTCTCCGCTACTTTCTTGCTCGTGAGCTGCAGCAGCGTGGTCAGCTGCGTCTTGCGTACGTGGCCTCTGAGGCCAACACTGCTGATATCTTCACCAAGGCACTTGCGCCTTGTGACCATCAGCGCTTCTGCACTCAGCTGGGCCTTGTGCCTACCTTGCCTCACTTGCTCACCTCTTGACCTTGCTTGTACTGTTACATATATATATACCTGCTCTTGTTTGTCTAGCCTTTTTATATATATGTGTACTCCTGCTTGTGAACTGGCCTTGTGGCCTTGAACTTGTGCTCGGAATGTGTGGTGACTTTGTGATCCACCCTGAGCTTGTTTTGGCTTTGCTTTGCTTGACTGGTCTTGTGACCCCTTGTTCTCCCCCACTTTGCCTATGGGGGTGTGTCAGATTTATATGACATAGCTACTGTAGGCTAGAGTGGGGTAGCACATATGGGGTACAGTTTTCTAGGGTTTGCTTCTTGTACCCAACTTTCACTTAGTCATTCTCATTCCTGTTTTTCTTCATTCACACGTTGTTGGGGCAGTGTTGCTTAGCATACCGGAACCATCTCTGTTGTAGCACCGATGCATTTTAGCATTCACTCGCAGTTGTTATGTGCAGCTTTTGCTCGTGTTGAATGGATGCACATGATTTGCATTCATGACCAGTGGGTGTTTTTCTCGTCCATTGTGTTTGATGACGACGACCAATTGTTCCATTCGCCGTATTTATCGACGATTATGGAATGATAGGTCACATTTGGTTACACTTTTTTAGAAACTCATGTGTATCAGTGCTGTCATCTCCACACATTTGGAACACTCGTTATCAAAACGTTCAAACGAGTGGTTCGGACGTTGTGAAAATGACAAAAACTGCACTGTTCATTTGAGTCGACCAAAAAGTGCTACCAAATGTATAGGGTTGCTACGCAACCCAAAAAGCCACTGGGAAAAAGGATGCAGATTGGGAATAACTCAACGGATTAGGGTTGACAGCACCATTAATCCTCCATTGACCGCGAACCTGCTGACCTCGTACAGGAAAAAAAAAAAAAACCCCTCGGATGGCATCGATTCTAAACATCATGCAACAATGTATTTAGGGTTAATGCCATTCTGACTGGATGCCTGTTAGCACGAGGGTTATTTTTAGTTGCTCGCGGGCAGCAGGCTCCGTTGGGCGGTTTTGTTTGTCCAAGCAGATAAGTGCTTGACGACTTCCCGTATTTAGGGTTAATATCTCCAAATCATGTCCTGGTTATCCAAGCGTTTTATTATGCTCTTTTTTTTTTGGGGTATATGCGGAGCTGCTGGTGGCAACATTGCTTCAGGGTTGTGCTTATATATAAATACAACAGTATTTGTAGTTACTATAGTGAAAAATTGTCGGTTGATTACGTTCGCAAACCGCTTCTGGCATAATCTGAGTATCAATGAAGTTGGCCGGTTAGAACCGAACCGCTGACCTCCGAACCAGGGCAAGAAACGCGGGAAGCCGAGGTTCGTAAGACCATGTCATACGAAAGTCAATGTCCATGCGACTGGCTGACGAATCACACATGCTTTTTTGGTTGGAGTCTACGTGGTTCCCCGAGCCGCCAGCTGAAGCCAGGTGGCAACCATAGGTTGCTTGCTGGAGTTACACCGCAGATGCGACGCTCCTGACGCTGAAGTGCTGACGTTCCGAGCAAGCAAGCGTTTCAGAACCTCATTTCAGCAGCATATTGCGCACACTTGCATACACCACATATATGCTTATTATACTGAAATGAAAAAATGATTCTCATATTGATTTAGAGCGCAAAATAGAAATGTCAAATGAGGTCAACAAAATGAGTCACAATCACTCGTATTTAACGCACTGCATGTCATTTGCTGCACACACGAAGTAACAACCGACACAGTGCATCCCCTGCAGTAGCAACAAGGATCAATCTGCGGCCCATAATAGTCGCACCTTCCATTTCCCTCCACCTTCACCTCGCTCTCCTCCCCATTTACTCTCCCTGTTCTGCATTCCTGACTTCCCCCTGCCTTCTGCTTTCCGCCTGCCTTCCTCTCTCACACTGCTTCCTAGCTCTCGTCTTCTCCCTCTTCATGCTCTTCGTCCGTCTCCCCCTCTCCAACCTCCCCCTCCTCCGTCTCTTCACCCCCATCCCCTCCTCCCTCCTCCTCCTGCTCCTCCTCCTCCTCCTCTTCCTCCTCCTGCCCCTCCTCCCCCTCCCCCTCCTCATCCTCCCATTCCCCCTCCCCCTCCCCCTCCACCTCCTCCCATTCCCCCTCCCCCTCCCTCTCCCCCTCCCTCTCCCCCTCCCCCTCCCCCTCCACCTCCTCCCATTTCCCCTCCCCCTCCCTCTCCCCCTCCCTCTCCCCCTCCCCCTCCCCCTCCCCCTCCCCCTCCCCCTCCCCCTCCCCATCCCCCTCCCCCTCCGCCTCCCCCACCTCCTCTCCTCTCACCTCCTCCCTCTCCCCCTCTTCTCTCACTTCCTCCCCCTGCACCACCTCCCCCACCTCCTCCCCCACCGTCCCCAACACTGCCTGCCACCCGCCCTCCACGCGTCTCCTCCTTCTCACCCCACTCCGCCCCATCATCTCATCAAACCGTCTCTCTGCCAAACGGTAAGCCTGCTCAGGCCGCATCCCTGGTGTCTCCTCCATCAAACGATTGCTCTCATACTCACAAAAGTGCATCATCGCCATCTCAACCGCTGAAAGCGGCCGCCCCTCGGCTGCTCCGGGGGGTAGGGGTCCAGTGGGGGGGGGAAGCGAGTCAGCGGGGGGAGGGGAGGCTCTGCGCGCGCTAGTGGGGGAGAGGGGGGCGGCGTGGGAAGCGGTGGTGAGAGTGGAAGCTAGGGAGACGTCTGAGAGCGCAGGGCGCGCGCGGGGGGCGTTGGCGGCGCGCGCGCCAGAAGCGGCACCAGCATTAGCAGCAGCAGCGCCAGCAGCAAAAGCGGCAGTGACGGCGGCGAGAGGGTGTCGCGGAGGTGGGGGGTCGAAAATCGTGATGCGCGGATGATGGGGGGCGGCAGGGGCAGCCGCGGGGATGGGGGCTGGCGCGGAAGCGAGGGCAGGCACGGGAGCGGGTGCGGGACCAGGAGCAGGAGCGGCGGAATGTGTGGGTTGCGGGGCGCCGAGGTGGAGAGGGTCGAAGAGGGGAGCGGTGGCGGAGAGCTGGAACAGCAGGAGGTTGTCCATGGGCACACGCACGCCGGCTGGGGGAAGAAGAGAGGAGGAGGGGGGGGGGGGGGGGATGTGGGTGGTTGAGAAGTCTCGTACAGGAGAGCTGGAACAGCAGGGGATTCTCCATGGGCACGCGCACGCCGGGAGTGTGTGGGCAGAGGGAGGGGGGAAGGGGGGGAGTAGGGGGTTGAGGGGTTGAGACGTCTGAAAAGGCGAGCTGGCGCAGCAGTAGATTGTCCGTCGGCACGCGCACGCCGGCTGGGGGGAAGGTAGGGTAGGGGGCCGGGGAAGTAGGGGAATATGGCGAGAGGGGGGGGAGGCGGAAGGGGGGAAAGAGACGCAATGTGGGCGATCTAATGGGCAGCTGATCAGGAGAACGTGAAGTTCAGCAGCAACGGCGAGATTAGGTGCACGAAAAATCGATTGTCATAACTTTGTCGAAATACATTACGAACGCATAGGCGATCCAATAGGAAAAGTGGCTTCGCGCATTGTATGTCTTAATTCTGACCCGAGCTAGTAAGACACGCTAACGGACTGTGGAACGATATTTTAAAGAAGCAATGGGACGCGAAAGCGCAGATCAGAAACAAAACATAAAAACGAAAATCTCTGACGAGAGAATTGGACATCGCATGAATGCCGCTCAAGCAGGGTGACGGCGACGACGACGTTTTCCAGCAGTGGAAGCAGCCGCGCGATAATTGTGCGACAGCTTGCGCGATTGTGCGACTGCTGGAGCACGGACCTGCGGCGAGGCGAAAAACTGACGCCATTTCGCCAAACGCGACCTGCATTTTGCTGGCCGCGCTCGCCAACGCCAGCAACCTCTCGCGCTGACCATTACCCGCGCATTGCGCGCCACTGCTCTGTCCGTCCATGGCTCGTCAAAGAGATTAGACACGTAATGAGCTGAACTGAACCTTCGACCAACATTCAACCAAGAAGCTTTGACCTATCGCTCTGGGTAGGTTCAAGTGATCGACAGAAGTTGATGCTATTGCCGTCAATACTGTCTCACAAGTGCAAGCCAAAATTCAAACGGTCGATTCAAACGGTGGGCGAAGTACAGAATTTACTCCCTTCAAAAACTCTCCGCCGTCGGGTTACTTGATGTCGCGATGCAGGTTAAGAAAGGTGGTGTTCGGTGAAAGGGCTGCTTGCTGCGGTTCGTAGTGAGCGACGCGGACGAGAATGTTACACCAGTGACTTGGCGACGGCTGACGAAACTCCAAAAGCCTGACGCGCGAAGGCAGCATGACAGGAAGAGTATTTTCGAAATCTCAACTTTGAATATTGTTTTCTACTCTACAGTGCACACCTAAACCTACACAAATTTGAACATCCAACATAAATCAAATTCCTAAACCTGCCTCAATCTTTTCGAGGTATGCACATCACAGCACTTTCTTCACCCTCCTCCGTTTTGACCGCTTGCCCTCAGCAGCATCACCACCCGTGTCCTCATTATCTTGCCTGGCGGTCTCGCTGACTCTTCTCCTCGCCTCTGCCTCATCAGCACCACCCAGGGGCACATCAGTACTGCCGCCCACGTCCTTCCCATCACCTGCACTCACACCCGCATTGTTGCAATCATCCACCTTGTCTCCTCCACTCTTGTCCTCCTCGCCTTGCTCGTCCTCCTCATCCCTGCGATCCCTCGTCTCCTCTGCGTGCTCAGTACCCTCCAATCCCACCACCTCGTCCTCTCCTTCCTCTCCTTCTACTCCTTCCTCTCTCTCTACTCCTTCCTCTCCTTCTACTCCGTCCTCTCGCTCGTCTCCCTCTTCTCTCTCCTCCTCTCTCCTCTCCTCTTCTCGTGCGCCAGCAGCAGCAACACTGGCGTAATCCAGGATCGGGAGGCGCGGCTGATCGGGGACGGCGGGAGCAGGCGTGGCGGCGGGCGCAGCCGCGGGAGCAGTCGAAGGCGTGGACTGCAGGGCGGCGAGGCGAAGAGGGTCGAAGAGGGGAGCGGTGAGCTGGAACAGCAGGAGCTTGTCCATGGGCACGTGCACACCGGCTGTAGGGAGGGAGGGAATGGGGAAGGTGCGGAGGAGGGGGTTTCGGGGTTGAATTGAGACGTCTCAAAAGGCGAGCTAGAACAGCAGGAGTTTGTCCATGGGCACGCGCACGCCGGCTGTAGGGTGGGAGGGAATGGGGAAGGGGGGGAGGAGAGGGCTTAGGGGTTGAATTGAGGCGTCTAAAAAAGGCGAGCTAGAACAGCAGGAGTTTGTCCATGGGCACACACACGCCGGCTGTAGGGAGGGAGAGGGGAGGGGTGGAGGGGTGAGGGTTGGGGAGGGGTTTGGGGTTGACTTGAGGCGTCTAAAAAGACGAGGAGGTTTCCTGTTGGCTCGCGCACGCCGGGTGGGTTGAGGGAGTGTGTGGGCGGAGGGAGGGGGGAGGGAGGGGAGGGGTCTGGGGTTGAGAAGTTTCTAAAGTCGAGCTGGAACGGCAGGAGGTTCTCCGTCGGCACGCGGACGCGCACGCCGGCTGGGGGAAGATGGGGAGTGGTGAGGGGGGGTTGGGGGAGGAGAGAGAGCAGGGGGAGGGGGGAGAAGAACGTTGGGGAGAAAGGGGCGGGGAGGATTTGGGGGTTGAGACGTCTCACAAGTCGAGTGGGCGCAGTAGCAGATTGTCCATCGGCGCACGCTTGCCGGTTGCGCGGAGAGGATGGGGAGAGGGAGTGGGGGGGCTGAAGGGTTTGAAGGTTGAGGGTTTTGGGGTTGAGAAGTCCCAAAAGGCGAGCTGGCGCAGCAGCAGATTGTCCGTCGGTACGCGCTCGCCGGCTGGAAGGAGGGGGGTGGGGGGGTTGAGGGTTCGGGGGTTGAGGGTTCGGGAGTTTCGGGTTTTGAGGGACCCCAAAAGGCGAGCTGGCGCAGAAGCGATTGTCCGTTGGTACGCACACGCCGGCTGGGAGGGAGGTGGGGGGAGGAGGGGGAGGGGATGGGGGAGGGGTGGGGAAGGGAGGAGGGCGCGGAGGATGGGGAAAGGATGGCGGGCGGAGGAAGAGGGTGGTGTTGGGGAAGGAGCCAAAGGGGGTGGGGGTGGACGGGAGGAAAGGGGGAAGGGGACGCAACGTAGCCGATCCGATAGGCAGCTGGTCACGAGAACGTAAGTTTAACAACAACGGATAGGCGACCGGAAACTGGTTGTACACATCTTCGTATGTAAGAAGTTTGAATCGCATTACGAGCGAATAGGCGATCCAGACGGAAACGTGGCTGCGAGGTTGAATGTCTGTTAGATCTGGCCGAGCTAATAAGATACGTCAAGTGAATGCGGGATGAAGATTCCGCGAATGAACGACAATGGGCCGAAAAAAAAAGCATATCGGAGAAGAAAAGAAAAGAAAAACACAGCGTGAATGCCGCTCAAGCAGGACACGATGACGACATTTGCCAGCAGTGAAAGCAGCCGCGCGAAACCCGTGCGACGATTCCTGCGATTGTGCGACTGCTGGCACGGACCTGCAGCGAGGCGACAAACTGACGCCATTTCGCCGAACGCGACCTGCATTTTGCTGGCGACGCTCGCCATCGCCAGCAGCTTCTCGCGCTGGCTGTTACCCGCGCATTGCGCGTCGTTGCTCTGTCCGTCCATGGCCATCCGTAGCAATACCGAGTAATAACTTGAACCCCGTCTCAAAGGCCTTCACAAACTTTCAAGTAGTTGCATTGCAAGCCAAAACTCCTAGGCTCAATGCAAGCAGTGAGGCGAAGTTCAGTACAGGCTTTCCTCCTCCCAAACTTTCCTGCCGAAACAGGTTGCCTGATGTTGCGAAGCGACTCGCATGTTAGGTCAGCAAAGGTGGTGCTCGGTTCAAGGGCTTCTTGCCTCGTTTTGAACATCGTCACTTGCAGAACAACGCTGGAATGTGCGACGACGAAACTGACACGGTGGTGACCTGGCGATGCCGGACGAAAGCTGTTCGTGCTTCTGCATGGCGAGGGCGGGATAATAGCAAACAAGCATTGATAGAAATGTACAGTGAAAAATTGCTGTAGCTTGTAAATCTACTTTGCACTGCAAGCATGAATGGGTTGTTGTGCACTTGAATAGAACAGACGGGAGGGAGCCACCAGTTCAGCCTACTGAGGCAGCACAGGGTTTTCTGGGCACAATTTCTCTATGCAATTGACCATGACTAATATCAAATCACATTTCTAATGTCCACCTTAATCAATCTCCTAAATCTACCTCAACGTTTTGTCATCCTCCTCCGCTTTGATCGTTTGCCGTCAGCAGCAGCACCACCCGCTCCCTCATTCCCTTGCCTCTGCTGCTTCCGCTTCACCCTCCTACCACTCCCCCTGGCGGACGGCGTGACTCTTCTCGCAGCCTCCGCCTCATCATCACCATCCGGCAACACATCAGCACTGCCGCCCATCCCTGTCGCATCACCTGCACATGCACCCGCCTTGTTGCTCTCCTCCACCCTCTCTCCTCCACTTTCACCCTCCTTCTCGCGCTCCTTCTCGCCTCGCTCTTCCTCCTCATTCCTGTGAGCCCTCGTCTCCTCCTCTGCCCGCTCAGCACCCTCCACCAACCCCACCGCCACGTCCCCATCCTGCTCTCCCTCCTCCCCCTCTTCTCCCTCCTCTTCCACTTCTCCCTCCTCTCCCTCTCCCCCTGCTCTCTCTCTTCTCCCTGCTCTCCCTCTTCTCCCTGCTCTCCCTCTTCTCCCTGCTCTCCCTCTTCTCCCTCCTCTCCCTCTTCTCCCTCTTCCCTCTCCCCCTCCTCCCTCGCTTCTTCCTCCCTCGCCTCCCTCTCTCGCAAACGTGTCAGAGCAACTGCAACCAAGTCCGTGAACACTGCGATACGGGCAGGCAACGTCGCAACCATCGCAGCAAATTCATCCATCTCAGCTGACAAACCAGCTGCTGCGGTCGCACCAGCCGCACTTGTCGCAGCCGCAGCGCCGTTCGTGGCAGCAGGTAGGGGGTAGCCAGCAATAGGCGCGGTGTTCGCGGCGTTGGCAGCTGCAGCAGGCGCCGGGTAGCCCGCAGCAGCATGCCCGGGGTAGCCGGCAGCAGCAGGCGCGGCGTTGGCAGCAGCAGCCGGCCCGGGGTAGCTGGCGGCGCGGGCGAGCGCCTCGATGTGGGCAGGGACCATGGTGGCGGAGGCTGCGAGCTCTACCAGCAGATCCGCTGTGGCGCCCGCTGGGATGCGCGCCCCGCCTGGGGGAAACGGAAGGAAGGGGAGTGTGAGAAACAAAGGAGGAAGAGCTGGGCTTTGAGGTGCGCGATGACCATGGTGGCGGAGGCTGCGAGCTCTACCAGCAAGTCCGCCGTGGCGCCCGCTGGGATGCGCGCCCCGCCTGGTGGGGAGAGGGGGGGAGACGGGACGGGGGGAGACAGGGGGGAAGGGGGGGTAGGGGGATAGGGGGTGGGAGGAAGCTGAATCAAAATAAGGGAAAAAAGAAAGGTTTATTTCCGCCAACTGCTCCGCCATGGCGACTGCGGGGATGCGCGCCCCGTTTGGTGGGGGGAGCGGGGAAAGGGTTGGGTTTAAAGGAGGGGGAGGACAGGGGGGGGAGGAGAGGGGGGGGGACACGGAGAAAGGAGGGGGAAGGAGGGGTAATGGGTTGGAGTTGGGGGACGGTGGAGGGGGAGGGTAGTAATGGCGGAACGAGAGCCGGGAAAGGGGTAGGGGGGGAGGGGATGGGGGAGTGGGAAAGGGGGGAGACGGTGGAAGGAGAGAGGAGTAATGGCAGATCGAGAGCTGGGAAAGGGGTAAGGGGGGAGCCAGGGGAGCGAGGGGAAGCGGGAAGACTTCAGAAAGGCTGGGAAAAGGGTAGGGGAGAACGGGAGTAGGAGAGGGGATACATTACGAGGAGGGAAGAGGGAGAGGTTCGAAGAACGGAGAGCAAGCAGTCTGGAATGGCGGCGAAGGGATGCAATATGAGGAGAAGCATTCACGACGGACGCGAGATGGCGAAGAGATGCATGGACCCCCAAGGCTAATGTGATCTGATCTGCGTCTGGTCCGCGATGCTAAGCGATACTACCACAGACAGCAGCACACGCGTGCGGCACACACGCGCAGCACACACTCACGGCACGTACGCGCAGCACGCACGCGCGGCACGCACGCGCAGCACGCACGCGCGGCACGCACACGCGGCACACACGCGGCACACACGCGCAGCACGCACGTGCAGCACACACGCGCAGCCCGCGCGCGGCACACACGCGCAGCACACACGCGCAGCACGCACGCGCGGCACGCACGCGCAGTACGCACGCGCGGCACGCACGCGCAGCGCACACGCACGCGTAGCACAGACGCGCGGCACGTGCGCGCAAAACCACGAGCACGAAGCTTGGTTTGCTCTCTCTCTCTCGCTGTGGCACGCACCCGCGGCGGCGCGGCACAACGTCGCCATCTGCCCGAACGCCAGCTGCACCTTTTGATTCGAACCAAAAGGCAACTAACGTACTGAACGCGCGGCACAGCGTACCGGCGGTGGGGCGGCACAGCGTCGCCATCTGCCCGAACGCGAGGCTAATGCGAAGCTAATGCGAGGCTAATGCGAGGCTAACGCGAGGCTAACGCGAGGCTAACGCGAGGCTAATGCGAGGCTAATGCGAGGATAACGCGAGGCTAATGCGAAGCTAATGGGAGGCTAATGCGAAGCTAATGCGAAGCTAATGGAAGGCAAATACGATCTTCTCTGCGCCGGCGGCACAACGTACCGAAAACGGCGCGGCAAAGCGTAGCCATCTGCCCGAACATCAGCTGCGCCGTCGACGCGACCGTCGCAATCTCCAGCAGTAACTCGCGCTCCATCGCCGCGCCGCACCGCCTTTTGGCCGCACATAAGCGTTTAGGCTCGCGTCGAGAGGCGAACCCCATCAGAGAAAACAATATTTCACAGAGGAGCCCCAGCAGACCCCTAAAAAAAAACTGCCAGGTGTCAACCACGCCCTGGACAATTGGAGTCGCGCTTGGCAGGCGCGTAACTCCCTTAGTCCCGTGACTGGAACTAGAAGGACACTATAGAGGAAGCCCTGGAAGGCAACTGGCGCCTTGATTTTTGCTGGTGTGGCTTCGGATGAAGTTTTCAGAAGATTAGCTGGTGGCACCACGGATGTGTAAAACTAGCGTGCAACCAACTGGTGTCAAGCTCGCACCCGTTCAGCCGGAGATTTCAGCCAACCCAAGGCCCGAATTGCCGAATCGGGAAATTTGGCGCGAAACTAACCAGCATGTGTGCACATTTTCGCGGGATCCCAACAGCGTGCTCGATTCGTTTTACGCGCACTCTCTTGGCTACTTCTTGTACATGCGAAAATAACTGCACTATTTACATAATCGATCATAAAGCACATTCCTTCAGGGATTTTCCCATAAGAGGCCATTTTTGCTACTCATCAGCCCATCGAGTTTGCTTCATGGCAGCTCTTACCCCTGTTTTTCCCTTGGCAGTAGTTTACTCGGTCTCATGCTCCCCAATTTTCTCATCCTGTTCATGCTCTTCTCAGCCGCTCTCACTGCCCTCTCTGCTTGCTTCCTTTTTGCCTTTTCCATGGCCTCCCTCAGCTTTTTTTCTGCTTCCCTTTTTCCCCTTTTTGCAGCCTCCTCCCTCTTCTTCGCGTTCTCCCTTTCTCGCTGCTTCTTCTCCTTCCTCTCTCTCGCCTTCTTCTCTTTCACCGTCTCCCTCCTCACCCCAGTCACTTCCTCCCTTGGCTTCTTTACACTCGCAGCCCCCCCATTCTTCCTGCTTCCCTTCTCCCCTCCTTTCTCCCCATCCTTTCCCCCTCCTTTCGCTAACTGCCCGCCAGAGTCTTTTCTAGCAGCATCTCCCCCAGTATCCAATGAAGTCCCACTCTTATCGAAAGTGTCTGGTGATTCCGAAGTGGGGTTTCCTGAGGTGGAATTCCCCCTCGCAATAGAAGTGTTGGCAGCTGGTGCAGTGGAATTGCGACCTTCCTTTGTAGCATCAGTAGCAGCAGCAGCGGCAATAGCAGCAGCAGCAGAAAGTGGGTCTTGGATCTTCGCCCATTCATTAAGAGCTACAAGCAGTGCAAACACGAGGGTCAAGAGCAAGGACAGAAAACAAAAATGTAATGAGTGGAGGATAGCCGGTTCTGTGAATCTTCCAACATTGTAAATCGACCGACCTCATATCATGAGGAAAGGAAGTACCTGAAACACTATCGAGACAATATAAACAGATGATCAAAGAGAACAGAAAACGATTGGTGGGAAATGAAGAAATTTACCTCCACATGATTCCAGCATTTTCTTACCTGAGCACTTGCTCTGCACCAAGTCTGCACTCATGCTCCTGTTGACATAGTATGGTATGTTGTAAGACCAACTCCCGAATGGAGTAGCCGCTCGTGTGGTAACCCCGACAACATCACCTAAAGGGCAATCTTTCTTGCCATCGCAAACCTCTGCTGCATCAATATACACGTCAACCCACACGCGACCTCCTTCCGCTTCAAACCCAAAAACAATCAGCCCCAGCAGAAGAGTGAGAAGCATCGTCGAGGCTGCCAATAACGGCCTGAACGGCAGATTTCGATGCGCCATAATCAATATCAGCTATGGCTACCAGCTCGTGATGGCGTGTTCGATCTTTCGAATGGATGATGGCGAGTCTTGCTCAGCAATGATGGCCTCGGCGTTTGAGAACGACTCGAACTGCCAAAGATTCACGCACTTCGTGAGGTAAGCGTCACGAGAACGTGCGAATATTAAAATGCTGCGCGCGCGACGCGGTCTGTGTAATTTGGGAGGAATAAGATTCCGAGCTCACAACTAAGGAGGAAATATACAGCAGATTTAAGAGGAGAAACAGCTATGCGATGACATGGAGCAGCGCTGGGTGATAAATGTTGTGCCGAGGCGCAAACTAGAAACTTTCGTGCCGAAGTCGCTGTCAAATAGGAGGTCGAGAGTTCACGCAAACATTTCTTGCACTGCTGTACTACCCAATGCGTAGGACGCGTTTTATCGGTACAGTCACGTGGCGCGCGTCACGGTCTGAAACTGAGATCCGGCAGAAAGAAACCGTAGAGCGCCACCAGTAAAGAGAAATGAAGGGTGGTGCAGGAGAGTGCAGTGCAGCGGTGAGCATCACAAGTTTGTGTTTTTCAATCCAAGCATAAATGACTTGCATGGGGGGAGGGAGGGCAAGAGGGAGTTGAATGGGGGTGGGGGCAAGAGGGAGTTGGAGCAGAAGCAGGTGGTGCTGTGCTGTTTGAAACCTGTTGGGCCTGTTGTTGGGCCGAGGCGCACAGCTGTGGAAATTGCCGTGCCATGCTGTCAGAAGGTGGTTGGAAGGTGTCGGCGAGTCCAAGAACGTATATAATTGGGTTTTGAGTTGAGCACGCACTGTTACTGATCGTATTTTCTCCCCACGCATCTACAAAACTTCTGGCGCACTGTTACAGCCCAGTTTTCGCTCACAACGCAGAATTAGCTCCTTTCAACGCAGTTTTGCTTTCATTGGTCGTAGAATTGACGGGCCGATAACTCTGATTTGGTTGGCGGCCACAGAACCGTCAAACGAAAGAATTTCGGGCATAAAAAAACAAAACCCTATCGGGTGGCATGTTTTTCGAGGGAGACATCAACCCTAAACACCGGGAGCCAAGGTGTTTAGGATTGATGCCCTTCCCAACGAGTAATTTTTTTTCGATGGCTTGTCTCAATTGAGCATCAACCTTAAACACCATTCGGAAGGTGTTTACGGTCGATACCTTTTTTAAAGGGGTATATAAAAGTTTTCGCACTAAAAACAAATATTTGTTACTGTTTTTTGTGACAGTATCCTCTCGGTTTGTAGTTATGTGCCATGTGTGGACCAATGAAATCAAAACTGCGTTGAAAGGAGCTAACTCTGCGTTGTGAGCGAAAATAGAGCAGTAGCAGTGCGCCAGAAGCGCTGTAGCTGCGCTGGGAGAGAAGAAGTTCAGTAACAGTGCGTGCTCAACTCAAAACCCTATATAATTGCAGAATGCCCTACCCAACCATCTTTTTAAAAAATTAGACCGCTCTGGAATAGCTCCAAAACTTTCTGAACCGCGTTCGAAAGAACCTTCTAGAGAGGCCCTGACGTCCGCGAAAAGCAGTTTCCTCTCACCACGTGGGTCGCTATGAAAATCACCCCGAAACTGCCATGCCAGCCCGGCAACAATAATTCCTGCCAGCACGTGCTGGAAATGTTGCCACCATGGCAATTTCTCCAGCCACGTCAGAGACGATTGCTTTTGGCGCGTCAGTGGCGTGGCGGTTCCACCAGAAAATACACAGACTGGCCAAGTGGCATTCTGAACAGCCAGAAATTCATAGGGTCTATTATGATTGGTAACTGGCTATAAGCCCATTAGTACTATAATAACACAGGCCTGTATTTCTATCCATAGGATGACGGTACCCTTGGTGAAAGAGGCAGCTTTTGAGAACAAAAAAAATATAGCCATTCCATTCATTTGTTACATGCGCGCATAAAGTTACTCTTCGATAAACCTACCGATATATCCGAGGAATGAGCATGAAAAAGAACAAAGAATACGAAGAACAAGCTTCAACCCTAGTGTATCCTTGTAAGTTGTAACCAACTCCAGAATCTCCGATCGACTTGCCTTGCTTCTCTTGACTCAACTTCCCCAAGCTCATCAGCTTACCTCCCATCACTTCCTCCTAATCCCAATTCTGCTGCTGCTATTCCACCATGTAACCCTGTGCCATCTGCAAAAATGCCAGCTCAGCTCTCACAGACACCTCCTGCCCTGCCCCTCTTCTCCCTCTCCCTGTATCGCCCTGTAACCTTATCCTTGTCCCAGCGCACTCTACCCCTGCAAGCTCGCCAGCCCCGCCGTGCTGCCCCCTGCTGCTGCAACCGTGTGCAACCCTGTCCCACCCCACTCTACCCCTGCAAAGATGCCAGCTCGGCTCTCACTGCTGCCTCCTGTTCCAACTTCTCCTTCTGGGCCGCATCCATTCCTAACGTTTAACCAGTTACAGCTTCTCCCGTTACTGTTGTCATTGTGTACTGTTCTGTAGTCGTAAACTACCCCTGCAAAGATGCCAGCTCTGCTCTCACTGCTGCCTCCTGCCCCAGCTTCTCCTTCTGAGCTGCGTCCAGCCCCGCTGTGCTGCCCCCCGCTGCTGCCACCGTGAGTAACCCTGTCCCACCGCACTCTACCCCTGCAAGCTCGCCAGCTCTGCCCTCACTGCTGCCTCCTGCTCCAGCTTCTCCCTCTGAGCCGCGTCCAGCCCCGCCATGCTGCCCCCTGCTGCTACCACACCTGGTAGTTACCTGCAACTTCTCCCTCGAACCTGCTGCTGCCACACGTCACTTCAGCTCCTCAATCTCCCACCGCATGTAACCCTGTCCCACCCCACTCTACCCCTGCAAAGATGCCAGTTCAGCCCTCACTGTTGCCTCCTGCCCTAACTTCTCAAGCTGAGCCGCGTCCAGCCCCGCCGTGCTGCCCCAGCTGCTGCCACCGTGAGTAACCCTGTCCCACCGCACTCTACCCCTGCAAAGATGCCAGCTCCGCTCTAATAGCACCCTCCTGCTCCAGCTTCTCCTTCTGAGCCGCGTCCAGCCATGCTGTGCTGCCCCCTGCTGCTGCCACCCGCGCCTTCAGCTCCTCAATCTCCCATCATGTGTAACCCTGTCCCGCCCCACTCTACCCCTGCAAAGATGCCAGTTCTGATCTCACTGCTGCCTCTTGCCCTAACTTCTCCAACTTTGCTGCATCCAACCCCGCCGTGCTGCCACCCGCGCCTTGAACTCCTCACTCTCCCACCGTGTGTAACCCTGTCCCACCCCACTCTACCCCTGCAAAGATGCCAGTTCAGCTCTCACTGCTGCCTCCTGCTCCAGCTTCTCCTTCTGAGCCACATCCAGCCCCGCCATGCTGCCTCCCACTGCTGCAACACGCGCCTTGAGCTCCTCAATCTGCCGCAGCCGCTTGCCCAGGTTGCGCACTCTCTTTGCTTTCTTTGCTGCATCGTCGGTGCCTTGTCCTGCAAGGGTGGATGGAAGAGGGGAAGAGTGGAGAGAATGAGCTAATCAGTGCTGCCCCCCCCTGCTTCCACCTGCGCCTTCAGCTCTTCAATCTGCCGCAGACACTTCCCCAGGTTGCGCACCCTCTTGGCCTTCTCTGCTGCCTCATCTGCAGCGGGTCGAGTGAGTGGACAGAGCAACAGGGTTTGGACAGAACAGGGAATCAGGGCAAAAATCTGCCGCAGCCGCTTCCCCAGGTTGCACACCCTCTTGGCCTTCTCTGCTGCCTCATCTGCATGGGAAGAACATGGAAGGAGAGGGGGCGGAGATCAGGGTCTGTGGACAGAACACGGGATCAGGGCAGTGGTTAGTTGCAGTCTAGGGCAGTTGGCGGTTGCAAACCTGCTTCGCCCTCTAAACGTACCTTGTGGCTGTGGTGCCGCCTGCTGCGCCGCCTGCTGCTCCTTGGGCCAGTCGTCAATGCTGAGGGCTTCCATACTGGGAGCCTGCTTGCTCTCACTTGCATGCTTTCTCTCACTTGCCTGCTTGCCTTGACTCGCCTGGTGGTTGTGCGAGAAGAGGCATTACCTTGTGGTTGTGTCGCCTGCTGCGCCTGCTGCTCCTTGGGCCGGTCGTCAATGCTGAGGGCTTCCATACTGGGAGCCTGCTGGTTCGCCTGCTTGCCTTGAATCGCCTGCAACCCACCGAGTTTAGATACAGTGGATTGGAGGGCACACCAACGTGTGAGGCAAGGTGCACAATATATGTGATGCATAGATTAGGTGTGAGTTCATGCAATAGATCAAAGAACAGATCTGAGAAACACACTGTTAGATTCACCCAAGAAACCACCTAAGAACGAACCTGATCAGGTGAAGCAACCTCCTTCTTGGCCTTCACAGCCTCCCGCTTCTTGGCGTTCTTCTTGGCGCTCTTGGATAGCTCTGCAGACTCCGCCCTGCCACACCACACAGCACACAGCAGAGAGAAGGGTGGTTCTTGAGGCGCCTCAATCAAGCCTCCCGCTTCTTGGCGTTCTTCTTAGCACTCTTGGACAGCTTTGCTGACTCCGCCCTGCCCGTAGAGCGCATAACATAGGAGGCAGCATAGAGAGGGGCGATCCTTCAGGCACAACATGGAGCATAGAGAGGAGTGTTCAAGAAGCGCCTCAAACAAGCCGCCCGCTTCTTGGCGTTCTTCTTGACACTCTTGAATAGCTCCGCTGACTCTGCCCTGCCAGACGGTACAGGATGCAGCATGCAGCAGAGAAAGGGGTAAATTCTAGGTACCTCAGACAGGCCTCCCGCTTCTTCACGTTCTTCTTTGCGCTTTTGGATAGCTCTGCTGACTCCGCCCTGCAGGGAGAACGAGGGGTGCACAGTGGGTGGATGTGAGCAGTACATCGGAAACAACCACCATGTTTTCAGAGAGTCAGCATGTAGTGCATTGGACGGCAGTCCACACTCCAAGGTGGACCCATGCTGAGACCACTCATCATGTGTTGCCAGGCAGTCCTAGCGGCCTGCCTGCCTTGCTATTACCTTGCCAGGAAAATGCACTCTTGATTTGCTTAAGGGGCAGGTGGCTCACCCGGGAGGAATGTACTTCTTTGGAGCGCCTATCTTAAGTGGCTTGTCTTCCTCGCCTGGCATCTACCGTGTGACAATGAGGGATGTGACAATACGTGGGGTGTCAATGAGGGAGGTGGAAATATGGCAAGAGGCATTGACAAAGGAGGTGGCCATAAGAAGGGGATGACTAAAATGTAAGCGAGGGAGGTGGCAATAAGGGATGTACCAGAAGCAGGCATGGGGACACAAAATGTGCTAAACCCTGAACAATACACCATGCGTAGTAATCTCACTAACACGTGACGCCAACGACGAGCTGCCACTGCCAGGTGGCGACAAATAGCAAGTGCCAGGTGGCGACCAACAAACAACTGCCACGTGGCAACATCTCTGAGCTCTGAAGGTGGAGGTCATGAGGGCCGCGTTGGGTGGGTGGTATGGCGCTGGCTTGGTGGCTGGTGGCTGCACTGGCGAGGCTGATGGGGAGGGGAGCGGGAAGGAGACAAAGCAGGCGGAGGGAAGTTGAGGACATGAGGGCTGCGTTGGGTGGGCGGTAGGGCGCTGGCTTGCTGGGTGCTGGCTGCAGTGTGCCTGGTGAGGCTGATGGGGAGGAGGGGAGAGAAGAAGAGAAGGAGGCGGGCAGGAGAAGGGAGGAGAAGGGAAGGAGGACAGGAGACAGAGAGGAAACAAAGAAGGCGGAGCGAAAGGCAGAGAACATGAGGGCAGCGTCGGGTGGGTAGTAGGGCGCTGGCTTGCTGACTGGTGACTGCACTGGTGAGGCTGATGGGGAGGGGGAAGGAGAGGGAGAGAAGGAGAGGAGGAGAGGCAACAAATGAGGTAGAGGGGAAGGTGGAGCATGAGAGAAGCATTGGGTGGGCAGTAAGGTGCTGGCTTGGTGGCTGGCGGCTGCACTGGTGAGGCTGGTGGGGAGAGCAAGGAAGGAGAGGGAGAGAAGGAGAGGAGGAGAGGCAACAAATAAGACAAAGGGGAAGGTGGAGAGGATGAGGGCAACATTCAGTATGTTTTTTTATAATTCTCAAAAAACATACAGAGGGGAAGGTGGAGATGATGAGGGCAGCATTGGGCGGGCGGTAGGGCACTGGCTTGCTGCATGGTGGCTGCAGTTTAATACTGGTGTTATGAATCCTTTTCCAAGGGCGCTGCAAACGTAGACTCGCCATAGGGAGATGGAGTGCAGTATGTGTGTTACATGCAGGTGTAGTCTAGCTCGGATTATACACGCCATGGCTTGTCCTTACCATCTTCATTATCTTTCTTTCCTACTTGCTTCTCGTATTATCTCAAATCCTGCTGCGGATGCAGAAGTGGTCTTAGTAGTAAGTGTTTTGACCTTACCGTCGTCCTTGTTTTTTCACTCCTGCCTGCTTCTCTCCTCCCCTCACCTCAACAGCTGCAGCAGAGGACATGAGGAAGGCACATGTAGGTGCTGAAGTAGTCATAGCTGTGAGTTCTCATTTCATATATTGTTTTAGTAACTTTTTGGATATTTTCCGCCCATGCCCAAGTGTATGCATGCATTGCTCATCAATATAAACACTCCCCCTTTAGAGCACGTCGTACGTTTCTTCCTACACAAACCAGGCGGAGATTCTAACATCACTTTTAGACATCCCCACATCACCACTTCACTTTCTCCTTATCCCCACCCTCATTCCCCTACTCCCCCAATCCCAATTCTCCCCTGTCCTCCTCATGTCACACCGCTTCCAAATCACAACCCCCCTTCTTCTACCCACCCTCAATCCTACCCTCCCACCCACCCCGCTCCCTTCATTAAAGCCCAGGTGTGGAATCGAATCACCCCCCTTCTTGCAGTTCGGCCTTCACAACTCCCTGCCAGCTATCTGCCCCCGCGCACTGCTCATCCCCTCCCACCCTCCATCCACCCCTCTCCCTCCCTTCAAGCCCAGGTGTGGAACCGCATCACTTCTGGGTTGCTACAGCATTTTGGCCCTCTCAACTGCCTGCCGGCTATCTGCCCCCGCGCACTGCTCATTCTGTCCCACCCTCTATCCACCCCTCTCCCTCCCTTCAAGCCCAGGTATGGAACCGCATCACTCCTGGGTTGCTGCAACGGTTCGGCCCCCACAACTCCCTGCCAGCCATCTGCCCCCACCCACATCCACCCCCACCCTCAACCACCATTCTTTCCTTGCTGCGACGGTTCGGCCCTCACAACTCCCTGCTGGCCATCTTCCACCTTAAAGCACAGGTTTGGAACCGCATCCCGCCTGGGTTACTGCAGCGGTTTGGCCCTCACAACTCCCTGCCAGCCATTTCCCCCCCCCCCCGCTCCTCGTCTTAAAGGGTATGCCTGTGGTTCAGTGCCTCACTGCAACCAGACAGACTCATCAAAATTACATCCCAGCCAGATAACCCCCGCTCGCCTTGTAAGAAAAAATAAAAAACCAAAGTAAACTGGTTACCATTCCCTGTTGACCATCTGGCCCCGCCTGCTGCTCATTTTGAATGGTACATTTTAGGTTTAGTTCAGTGCCTCTTTGCAACCCGAGATACCACTGTATTGCATACTACTCTGTAAAACTAGTTGGGCTCTTGAGAACCCAAACAAATTGCAGCTGAAGCCACTGCCAGGCGGGCAATACCGTGTGGATGTAAACTTAGTTACACCCAGTGCTCAGTCTTAAGAGGGCAAGTGAATGTGCATTAGTCTTCATGTCATTATAGAGAGCAGGCACTCGCACTGTATGTTTTTTGAGAATTCTCAAAAACATATTCATCACAGAGAGCAAGCACCCACATGAACTGAGTCTATCACTCAGTTGCCTCTCTGCAGCTGCATTGACGCAATACGCCGGGGGAGATGGTGAACAACCCAAGGTGTTCTGTGAACGGGGCCGGCACTCTTGAGTCTGCTGCACACCACTCACTCACTCGCCTCTCTGTCCCATTGACAGATCATGACAGGGAAGAGCGATCCAAGGTGTCCCGCGGAGGGGTTGAGAGAGGGGAGCAGTGCAGCAAGCAAGCTCTCTTGAGCTCTTGTCGCATCAGCTGAGCCTCTGTCATACCACTCACTCACTCACCCACTCACTCACTCATGTGCCTCTCTGGTGCCGCAATGACACAACTTCGCAGGGGAGAAAGATCGAGGTGTCCCGTGGAGGGTTTGAAGGGAGCAGTGCAGCGAGCAGAGGAGGCGTACAACCGGTCAGGAGTGCCTCACCACTCTGTGGTACGTGCACGTACCCCTAAGCCGGGCTATATTCCACTCTAGCTTATAGAAGTGCACATGAGGGGTTGAGAGGAGCGGTGCAACAAACAGAGGGCCAGAGTCAACGTATAGGAAGGCAAAAACGGCACACCACTTGGAGGTGGTCCACATGGGAGCTACATTGCGGTGGTCCACCCTAGCACCTCGACTCGAAGTGCCCGTGAGGGGATGAGGAGAGCGGTGCATTGAGTAGAGAGGACATATAGCACAGCAGGAGTGGCACAACACTTTGAGGTTCAACATGTGATTACTGATACCGTATGTCTCGCCTTGGCCTTTAGTAACTACAAGCTCCTGTCGAAGAGAAAGGCCCCGCCCTCGCTTGGGCACAGCCGATCTCGCCGTCGACGGGAAGTTCTCAACGGATTGGTAGAAGAAGTAGTCTTCTGCAGTTTGATGGAAGTTGCAATCGAGCAAACTCTGCTCGACGGAATCTGGTCGACGAGCTCTGCGCGACGAGCTCTGGTCGACGACCTCTGCGCGACGAACTTCCGTCGAAGAACTCTGGTCGAGGAGTTCGGGTCGAGGAACTCTGGTCGAAGAGTTCTGGTCGAAGAACTCTGCTCGACCGAGCGATGGCGAGTCCTTCGACCGAAGTTGCAGAGTTCTGCGAAACTCTGCGGAGGTGTGCGAACTTTTGCCCAGGAGATTTTGGCGAAGTTCTACCTGC